TTCGTAACACGGGAATTGGGGATCTTTGTTATGTTTTCTTTATTTCATTTATTACGTATCTTCCATTTGACTTATGTTGGACCACACATTTGTGGAGTTTTATTTGTTGTTAAAGTTGTAATGCTATGGAAATGAACTAATTTTATTATTCCGCTGCCGAATTAATTATGTTAGAATAAAGGAAGTAATAAAGTGACTTTGAATTTTATGAATATTTGAAGTATGTGACATCCTGCTTATGTACTATGATATATGTTAATGTAATTGTTATTGTGGGAAAGTGGGGTGTTACATATTCGAATGGAAAGTAGCAATGTTGCATGTTGGGTTTGGTTCTAACACAAAGGTTTTCCCGTTAACAGCGAGAAAATCGGGCATGGTGGAAACTAGTTCAACTGTGTGAGGAACGTTGATGTGTTCAACAACTTGGCTAGGAGACACCATGGAAGGTGAATGGAAGCTTTGAGTAAAAACGAAGGTGAGTTTGTTTGCTGAGTTTGGAAGCTAAAATATTAAGGATGCAAAGAAAGTGTAAAGAGAAAATAAAGGATTGAAAGGGGTATATATACTTCCAAAGAAACCAAACGTTTGGGAAGAAAATGGAAAAATTATGGTCACACGACGAATACATGTCAAACAGATGGCAACTGAGGTGAGGAAGTTGGTATGTTAGAGGCCACGATTGTCCTAGGAAGTTGAAGCTAGAAATTAGGGAAGTGGCTGTGTGGTCGCTGATGTAACGTTTGGAGAATAAAGTCATGATTACAATGGCGTCACTCTGCACTAAGAGAAAATGATTAAAATGTCTGTTTATGCTCTTTCAGTCGAAAAGGACATTTTGGGGGGTAATTTGTTGGCTGAGATTTTCATAAAGAGAGAAATCCAAACCAAAAGTAAAAAGGCTCTTTAAAGAGCATTAAAGAGTATTAAATTATGAGGAGTCGATTATATAAGTATGTCGACCATGGTTGATTTCACAGGAAGTCAACCAGGGTTTCGTAAGCATAGTCGATCAAAGAAAGGTTCATGGTAAATGGATTGGGCCCAGGAGAGGTGAGAAACCCAAAAGAGTTAAAAGGCCCATAAGCGCCTACACTGTAAAGGCGAAACATTATGGAGGGAGAACGTGGGTTCGACAGTTACAATAGAGAACGTGGGTTCGACCACAAGAATGAAGAACATGGGTTCACAAAGAGAAGTTACAATAGATAACGTGGTTTCGTGAGGAGAAGTTATGAAGAACACGTGGCATGCAAGAAAACGAAGCCCACTTAGAATGCAGTTATTTATGTGTATTATAAATAAAACACTTAGTGTACTTTGTAAAATGGTCAAACTTTTCACATTCCTGCACGCTAGTCACTCAAAGTGACCAAGCGAACGAGAAAAATAAGTCAGACAAAGGCAATGTATGTTTGAACCAACCTATTTTTCAATCTTTCTCTAATGTTATGTCATTATCTTTTACAACTTAAAACGCTTTTCGTCTCATTTACTTTGTCTTTTCGTCATTATCTTTTATAACAAAACGTTTGGCTCTCGGTCGAACACGCCCTTTTTGAAAACGCTTTGACTACGCGCGCAAACTGAGACACTACTCCGAGATTCCTTGGTCGATCTCGCCCATAAATTTGTTTTCAAGAGACCAACGTTGTTTAGCAAATCCAGGGGTAAACAACTAGTCACTCATATTACCCAAACGAACGAGCGAAATGAGTCAAGCTAGGACAATGTATGTTTTAATCAACTTATTTTCAACTATTTTGATGTTATGTCATTTATGTTTACAGTTTAAAACTCTTTTCATTTTATTTTACAAGTCATGCTTTATTGCTTATAAACTCGTTTGATACCAATGGAACAGATCTTTTCTTAACACACTTTGTGAAAACACTCAAAAATTATAACACTGTATTGAAATTCCTTAGTCGATCTCGCTAATAAATTTTTATTAAGAGACCAATATTATTTATCAAAACTAGATATAAACAATTATGTATCAAGTATTTACGGGTTCTTTAAACACTGCATCAAAATAGAAGAAAAAAACTTAGTAAATTTCATCATCCTGCATTATGTAAGTGCAAATTTGTTTTTATATTTAAAGTGTTTAAAATTGATTTTGTATATTTAGAATTGATTGTAACAAGTTTGGATGCTATTAAATATAATTTTTTATATTTGATTCTATTTAAAATTAATATTTGTAATTTGTAAAACTTTAATAATAGGAAAAAATTCAACTAGTATTTGTAATTTGTAAAATTTTAATAATAGGAAAAAATTGTATGAAAACGACTACAATAAGTGGCTTTATAAACAATTAATAAATTTTTTTTTATTAATTAAAAAACTAAAAATAAATATTTCTCTCTTCTACTCAATGACAACCATCCCATGAAATCAAATAAAAAATAAATTAAATTTTAATCAAATTAAAAATTTCTCTCTTCTTATGAGATGTTTCTAAAAATATGGATTTTGGTTTTTTTTCTTACAGATATTTCTCTTAATAATATATATACAAGAAACTTTGGTGACTTTAATTTGTAAAAAAAACTTACATAAAAATGAATATAATATGTAATTTTACAAACAATTAACCATAATTTTTTCTCTCTCCTATACTATTACAAACACTCATGAATCAAATTAAAAAAGAAATAAATTTAAAAGTGATTTTTCTAATATTCTATGATTGTCTCATAAATTTTTTGTGGTCATAGTTATTTTTTAATATTTTTGGAATTTGGTTGTTGTTCATTGTTATAGCTTAATTTTATTTTATTTTTATAAAAATAAATATAAATATCCTTCCCATTATTCTTTAATGTTTGAGTATTTATGATATTTCTTACTTCCTGTTGCTTAAAAAAAACATAAATATGAATCAATTATTAAAAAAATTATGATTTTTTCATTAAAATAAGTAAGGTTATTTTTCATGAAAATTATGATTTAGTATTGAATAGTAAGCTACTAAAAATATTAAACTTTCGTTCATCAATTTATTAATAAAAGATAGATCTCGCTGGTATGCTTATCCTAATAATATAAGTTCACCCTTAGATACTTCAATATATGAGATTTTCCACCTTTCACAAAAGCTTTCAACCAATAGTATTATAAGTTATAAAGTACTACTGCTATAAGTTATATATATAATACTTCTAGGAAAATATCTTTTGACTGAATTTATTAATATTATAATAGAAAATAAAAAAGATCACGACCCATAAAGAGTTTTCGTCGTTTTGTACTTGCTTTTTTTCTACAAAATCTTTTTGTACTTTTGTGCTTGCTTTATTTTAAAATGTATTTTCACCATCTAAAGTCTAGACAAAGGCTTTACGTCCCATAAACACTTGAATTTTATGTATTTTTTTCTCTAAATACAATAAATAATATTAATAATTTTTATTAAAATTCAATGATAATACACTATCAATATAAGGAAGTATTAAATATATATTTAATTAAAATATTTAAAAATACGAAATGATATAAATTATTTAAAATTTATAATTTGATTTGTGATTGATTGAGATGTAAAAATATTATATATTTGTTAATGTAGTATTTATTTTGTCTAAAAAAATAATAATAAATGTGAAACCCAAAAATATCTAGTTCTGGAAGGCGGTTTTCTTCTGCATAGTAGAAGTCGTCACTTACGAAATCACCCCTCCAAGCCACGCAACGCTCACCCCACCTCACAACTTGTGCAATATTTTCCCTTTAACCAGGAGCCGCTCTATTTTTCATCTCTATCTCAAAATTTTCTCATATTTCCCTAAATCAGAAACCAAATCACAAAACGAACGTGAAGAACGACACAGTTAGTGGAGAGAGTTCAAACTCGAGTCAAAACTCTAACTAACCGGTGATCTTCCAAAAGTGTCACCGCCGATGGTTTGACGGTTGCATCCGCGGTGGTTTCCGAAAACTCCGTCGTTTAGCAGTGAAAATCCGTTTTAACCGTTGTGATCTCAACGGAACAGAAGGTTGCAGTTCCCGAACAGTTTCAACCGAAAGATGCACTTGATCTACCTACTTTGCTGATTTTGATGGTGAGTTTGTGTAATTTCTGGATTTGAGATCCATTTCGTGAAGTTCCCTCTGTTTCAGTTTTTTTAATATCTTGTCTTAGCATGATAAATGATAATAACACTGTTTTGTTTTCTTCATGGAAGTTATTTGATCTCTCTGAAACCCTTGAACCTTCGTTGCTGAACCTTCATGCTCAATTTTTCTAATATAGCTGTAAGTTTTTTTTTTCAAACTGTGTTGTATGTGCTGTGAATAGGCAATATTTACCAATGATTTCATTTTGAATTGTGCTAAATTAGTTTTAAAGTTATTCTTGGAGTGCAGGGATTATATCATGAGTTGTACACTTACACTGTCATCATTCCAGTGTGGGTAAGTTCATGCCTTTTTTATTCCTACTTGTCTTTTATTTAAACTTTCCCTTTTAAGTTTTTACAAGGCATAACATATAGACACTTCCTAAACATTGCTTTGAACTGTGATGCTATTGTTGAGTTTGTGTATATTGCTTGATTTGAATAATCCAGGTCCATCCTCTAACCGATACTTATTTTACTAACTGAAAAATATATTTTGATTTATGCAGGGTTTTAAAAAACGGTTTACCACCACTAAAACAATTTCGGCTGATGCTAATATTGATACCATTATTATCGGTTTTTATATCATTGCCATCATTTTTTAAAATCTCAGTTTATTGATACTCATAAGTTATATATTATTAGTGTAATATTTTAGAAAATTATATTATTACATGTCTTTATAATGAAGGGGTAGTCTTGGTTTAACGGTAAGATTGTTCTATTACGACTCATGGAGTCATTGGTTCAAAACCTGCTGAAAATTGGATTGGATGTTTATGCTAAAGTGTTTAATACTATTAGTGTATATATGTTAAACTGAAAACCCTAATGCAAAGTTGGATGTAGGATTGTGAGTCAACAAGCTAAATGGCCAGTAGTAGCCGGAATCCTCTAGTTGTTGGGCGTGTAATAGGGGATGTATTAGACCCTTTTGAAAGTTCTATTCCTCTCCAAATTACCTACGGAAATAGGAATGTTACTAATGGTTGTGAGCTTAAACCTTCCCAAGTTGCCAATCAACCTCAAGTGAGTATTGGTGGAAACGACCCCATGATCTACTACACCCTGGTAAATTACATTAAATAGATGTTATGTCTATATTTAGTATATTTATATAAAAAATGCTCCTAACAACATTCGCTTTAAAAATGACTCTCACACAAAATATTTCTTTGAATATCTATAAACTATGATTTGATTAGTTGTATATGTAAAAAAATTTACAATATCGAATATATACAAATTAAATGCACTTCGATTTTCTAAGTTAATTATTTTTTTTCTCTCTTCTATTGAAGGTGTTAGTAGATCCTGATGCACCAAGCCCAAGTAACCCCAGTTTTAGGGAGTACCTTCATTGGTGAGTAAATTATCTTGCTTACAACTGAACAATGAACATGATATATGAGATATTTTTGTTGCATAATACTAATACTGCAACTAACACCTTTCTCTCAATGGATTATAGGATGGTGATTGATATTCCAGCAACTACCGGGATTAGTTTTGGTATGTACATTATTTCTATTCATTCCATGGGTCAAATAGTTGTAGTATATATGAATTAAATGTTGATTAAAATTATTTTAAGTATATAATGGATAATTATCTTGATAGTAATAAGATTTTATTTTCTATTAAGTTTGAGGTAAGATCAAATATCATGATAGTACTACTATTATATAATGAGATTAAGTGTCAGTTTGATAATGCTCATAATTAGAGATAAAATATGATATTTGTATTATATTATATTATATTTTAATTAAGTTTTGACAAGAGAGTAATATATGTATAATTAGAAGTTAACTCGAATATGGCCTAACTTATAAACAATTTAATATGATTAAGAAAATCATTGATTATCTTTAAAAAAAAAAGTATGATTAAGAAAATCATTGATTATCTATAAAAAAATGATATGATTAAGAAAATCATTGATTACCAATATAAAACATAAATATTTAAAAATAAAATTTAAATAAAATATAATTAAATTGAAATTTAAAAAATTAAATATTTATAAAGTAAAATTTAATTATAAATTTAATAAAATATAAATAAAATAATATTAAAAAAAAACATTTATTACAATTTAAATATTTAAAAATAAAACCATATTAACAAAATATTAAATAATATGAATTTTATATTAAATTTTTTTTCACCAATTTAATATTAATTTATTGTAAAATTTTCATTTACATAAAACATATATTTATTAAATTACTCATGATTTAAAAAAAAATTGAAACTCCTTGTTTTGTAATGTAAATTTATATATGTTTTTTAAATTTTATAAAATTATTTATATTTTTAATATTTTTAATATTATCAATTAGTTTCAAAAAGTACTAATTTAATGTTATTACATTTTGATATTATATCAAAAGTAAATTATTAGTATATTTGTATTGTTTTAAAAAATTTCAATTTACACCCTTTAATTTTTGATAATGTTTTTTTTTTTTTTTCTTAAAAATGTATCAAATATTTTTATGATATAGTTTAAAAAAGATAATTTAATTTACGTTTAAGAAACATATTTTGTTTCTAGCTTAATAAAAGCGTAATTCAATTAAAATAAATGTGTGTTTTCTTAATAAGATTATTTATTTCACAAATTTTAATGTTGAGAATAACTTTTGATGGATCATTTATGAGGAGGATTGTCTCGCTTGTATGTGGATGGATCTGTTATGAGGATTGTCTCGCTCATATCAGAATTGATCATTTATGAGGATTGACAATAATGGATGCTAGTTTAATGTGATCGAAATTAATGTTTTAAAACTTGAGAGTCCATGCAAAATCGATAAAAAGATTGAAAAATCATAATCATAAATTCACAAAATTCTGATTCAAAACCTAAAATATGACCATAAATTCACATTCAAAACATAACCATGAAAACTAAGTTTAAAATGAAAACAATCTAGAGACAACAATTATATACTTAAGATGTCATTCAATCTCTGTAAGACTAGAAGAAGAATCGTTAATAAGACTAGGAGAAAAATCCAAGTCATCACCAACAACAATACCATTCTCTATTCTTTTGTCAATCTATCTTCGAAATGAATATCTTCATAAAAGTTATAAGATGGTTTTCTAACTTCATTTTTTTGCCAACTTTAAAAGGATTTTTTAATGTTTACCTAAATAAAAGTTGCCATTTCTCGTGACATTCGTATTTTTTTAACTCAAGGGTTTTATTTAGTGTATACCTAAATAAATTAAAATTTAAAATGAGATATTTTAGATCATTTTAAACATTTTAAAAATCGGATTGGATTGAATGGTCGAACCAATTGAATTGGGAATCAGATGGATTATCGGCCTAGTTTGATTGTTGAATAGAGTAATCTATTGAACTAGTGAGAACCGATCCGAACCGATAAAAATTGACAAATCAGCAATTTTAAAAAATCGACTAGCTAAATACATATCTTTTTTACTCCGATGAAACAATGCCGTTTTAATAATTTTTTTTAATAAAAAATAAAATTAAAATATAAGTAAACTTTATTCTAACATTGTAAACTTTGTAATTCTGAATATGCATCTCCACAAGATCTTCACCATTGTGTTGGTGTTTAGGTTTTAAATGCGAGCATTAAAAATTCACAATCAATAAATTTCATCTTTTTTGTTTGAAATTTTTAAGTTGGTGATCATTGTTAGAATACCAAAAATAACATAATTTTGTATTTAGTTATTCACATATAAATGATAACATAATTTTGTATTTAGTCATTCACACACTACCAAATAACAACAAAACTTATCATATTTGAACAATAACTTTTCATTTAATATGTAAAAATTAGATTAGACAAAAATTGAATAACAAACATAAAATAATAACTTAAAACAATATCAAAAATATTATAATAAAAAAAATAGAAGAGATTAGTGATGATGAAAAAGAAATAACTTAAGAGATGAAAGATTAGAGAAGATATGCGATAAAAACGAAATTGAAAGAGGGAACATTTGCATAAAAATAAGAAGTGAAAAAAAAATAAGAGAGTAGGGATTAGAGAAGAAGAGGCAAGATGTATGTGGCAAAGAAGGTGCGGTAATGCTAGGAGAGATTTGAAAAGACTGAAATTGAAACCATAAGTGTAAGGATGAAAAAAGTGTTCGTAATCATAAAGTTAATGTATAATAGGTTTAGGTTTGGAGTGGATGTGAGTTAAGTAAAATTTAGGTTGTAATATAATGCTTTTTGATCCGGTTTGTAAAATACAAACCGCAAATCAAACCGTGCAATTTTGTTAAAAGAAGATCCAAATACATATGAATCAAATGGATTTTTTACGAATTCGATTTGGTTTGGTTTGCAGTTTTCTATTGGATTTGTTCGGTTTTGAACACACCTAATCTAACATCATCTTATTCAAACAGTTACTAGCTACTTGCTTTTTTGAAGTCTGGTTGAATCTTTTATTTTGCTTGCACTACAACATTTAGGCTCTCCAGCAACAATTGAAAAACGTTGCCAGAACTCTGAAAATCGTTGCCTAAAACAATAGGGGACGTTTTCTAGGCGTCTCCTGTGCGAGCGTTGCCTATTGTTTGAGGCGACGTTTTTTTTATGTTTCTTGGGAACGCTTTTGAAAAACGTCGCCTATAGTAAAGGAATAGGGGACGATTATTTACGGCCTCTGAGACAACGTTTTTTAAGCGTTGCGTTGCCAAATTCGGCTACAATTAACAATCGTTGCCTTAAACCTGAATCAGGAAGATCGTTTTTGAAGTGTAGCCATAGCTTATAGGTTGTTGTTTTATAGTGTCCACATAAAATATACAATTTTGCAATTATTATCAAAATAATATAGTCAATAATAATTGGCTTCAAAAATAATATTGATTATATAACTTAAACCATACATCCATAAAAGTTGTAATATAATAAAATCGAGTTCAAACTTTAATTCAAGATATAGTATATAGAGTACACAAAATGCCTAACGTAACAATATTACTTTTAATACTTTGAAGTATGACCCTAGTAAAATAACTAAAAACATAGTTCAGCAAAAGAACAAAAATCATATTTCAAGTTTAATGCTTTCAACTACAAGCCAAAAAAAAGACATCATCCAACTCATTCAAGTTTGTCTTCTAGGAGTAAAGCATCCAGATCGTCCTCTTGAAATTCGTTAGATATGCCATCCTCCATAAATTCTTCATCTACGTCGTCCTCTTGAAACTCACCATCTATATCCTCCTCTTGAAATTCATCATCTAGATCTATGTCGTCCTCTTGAAATTCGTCATCTACGTCGTCCTCTTGAATTTTATCATTTAGGTCGTCCTCTTGAATTTCATCATCTATATCGTCCTCTTGAATTTCATCATTTATACCGTCCTTTTCAACATCTTCATTGATACATTGCTGCATAAGAAAATAAAATAAAACACATTAACCATAAGTATTTTTGGTCCAAAGGACAATTAAGACATCAACAAGAATTAAACCTCCTGAAAGTAAGTCACTGGAAGATGCACCGATGAATTTTGGACTGCTAGACATTTTACTACAGCTGATGAATTTTCTGTACCAGTTGTTTTGGAACCTCGTGCCACCCAATTTAGGGGTGGGACTTGGAGTCTTTGATTCTTCTGTTTCAGCTGGAAAACTTTTAAGTCTTGGTTCACTATTTGTGTAGGGGTAAGATAAATATTTGCTTCTTTTCCGAAATCGAGATTCAGCACCTGTTACGAAGGGGAAAAAATTGCCCAATGAGTGACTTGTATCCAACCAACATCATGAAATCACAAAATTGTATTTGCAAATTGCATCATATGAAAAGATGCCCAACTAATCACAAACATTCAGCGCATTATATGACAATGAGGAATCAATTATGGAACCCCATCATAATAAGAATAAAACTAAATGATACATAACCAAAACAATGAAGCTTAGGTTAATACACGATGCTCTCTTACACTTCTACACGTGAAACAAATGCCTATAAGGAACTAAATGCATGGATTCACCGTTTAAAATCTATTAACATTCACCGATGGTTGTATAGTATGTGAAATAAATAGGGTAACATAATAAAAGTCTAGTTTTCATATGCCAAAAAGTGTCCGTTCATCATAATCAAATCATGAAATCATTAAATGATATATAAGCTCTAGAGAGTAAGCATTAGTACTTAAATATCAAACTTGCATGACTATCATTAACACAAGAGACTATGTAATTTAATAGAGTTTTCACAGTGATGTTAAACTTGACACACATCCTTCCTAAAGCAACAATTTATAGCTTGGCTAGTAATAATGCATCGAGTTTGATGGAATCCCATCCTCAGAGACGTTACAAGAGAAGTTAAAAAACCGAAAATGAAAAATGAAAAAGAGGGAAAGGTGTAAGAAATTCTCACCATTCTCGGCGGTTGAAAAGCAACTCTTGGATTCTAGGATGTCCAATAAGAAAAATATTCATTCAGAAATTTTACCGAACACTGGGTGGACATAGCACGAAACAACAAATTCAACACCACAACCTGCAACAACAACAACAACAACAACAAATAACAAAACAACAACAATGATGTAGGAGATATGAATTGAAACAGAAGCAAGAAGAAGAAAGAATCGGCGGAGGAAGGTGATGCTCACCGATAATTGATTGAACGGAAACCAGAAAGGCAAGAGTGGTGTTGCGGTGTGTATCTGTTTACGGTATGGTGTGTCGGAAGATGGCTATAGAAGATCTCCATCGCGAGATGGTGAAGCATGGTCGGGCGGAGCCTGGGCAGCTGCCCTACCTGGCCGGACGCTGGCTCCGCCACTGGGCTCAATCCACACTTTAAAAGTATTATTGACAAAACGATAATTAATGTTGCATTAAAATTTGAAAATAGCGGATAAATAGGAACAAAATTCTTCAACAAAAGTGACAATTAAAAAGTAACAGAGGGGATACTTTCTTATATTATAACACTATGCTAAAAGGATACTTTGTCCTCTGACTACATTTTCTAGTTTCTCCTCATTTTCTACCAAAATTTCCTTTGAAGATGCAAACTGCACTAAAAATATAAAAGTGAAGAGCTAAAGTATTACTTGTACAGGTGAATACTTACTGCAATCATGACACTTTCATGTAATATCAACGGAGATATGAACACCCAAAAGATGTCGTAGGCAAAAGCAGAAGAGAGGAGTACAGTCGCAACCTATTAAATTAGATGAATAAGAAAATGACAATAATTGTAATTGATGACAAACAGAAAAAATTAAGAAAAGGAAGAATGGTTAATTAACTGTAGATATAAGGATTCCATTTAGCTACCTTAATATTGGGTAATTGAGCCAGCTGCAAGACTGTTATCATCAAACAGATTCCCTGTTAAGAACAAAAAATACATTAAGTGAACAGCTATCAGTCAAAGATCAATCACACAGTTACTCATTGGTTTACAATCTCAAACATGCTAGATATCAAACAAACTTCCAGTGCAATGCTTCAGAAAGCTCAATAGGAACCAACCAAGATCCCAATGTTGTATTTGGCCCATGTGTGCAGACTCATACAGAGGCATTATTTAAAGATTTGACAATAATAAACTTGACGAGTATGTGTAGGGAAATGGGAGTAATGGTCACAAGATTTCCAATTTATAGACTAATGAACAACGCTCAAGTAATCAGGTTGTTAAAATTGTTAAAACTTCAAAGAACGGTGGATGAGGAACCAGTTATTAAATCAATTGGAAACTTAATAGATGAGCTATAAAGTTTGTTAAACCATGAATTCCTGTTTTGAAACTTTTAATAGGACATGTTCACATATGAGAACTAGGAAAATACGACTACAGAAACCATTGCAAACTTCTACTCTAGTTTATCATACAAAGCTTCTAGCTTCCTCTCAACTTCAAATGACAGACAGTATTCACAAACAACATTTAAGAAAGGGAATTGACTTTTGTCTGCTAGGCATCTGAACAAAGTAAGATTCAATTTAGACACTGCGGTGATAACAGAATTTAAAGAACTGTAATGAAGATACTAGAATATGAAACTTACAACCCATTGATTAAAATCCCATAAGTAAACTCATCAAAAAGATACCCTTGGGCTACTAGGTCTTGGTAAAAGTTCAAAGCTTTAAAAATCATCCCATTCATACAAAAACCATTAATAATTGTATTAAAAGTCACCATGTTAGGTTCATAGCCACTCTTAAGAATGGTACCCAATAACGAAAAAGAAAAACCCATATGAGATTGATGACAAAAACAGTTAATCAAGATGCTGAAAGTAGCAATGGAAGGTGAAATTCCCCTAAGTTGTTGAAACTGCGAAAAAAGAGAAATTGCAGTGGGATAATGACCCATCCTCACAATAGCTCCTAAAACCTTGTCAAATTCACAAGTGGGTGGCGGAGAAAGTGCGTGAATCAAGCAATTGAAACGAGTAACAGCAGCATCTACATTATGAAACCCAGAACTTTTTCTACCATAGTGGCGTTGCAAATGACTGAAGAAGCGATAAAGAAACAATGTAGAAGAAGTTAGAATAGGATTAGGAGAGAATTTGGGAATGGCATACCTTGGATTTAGCATCATCAATAGAGTGAGGTGATTTCACACTCGAGATTCGTTCCGTTCTGTTCCTCTCTCGTTTTCTTCTTCAACTGCGGAACGAAAAGCTCTTGTTGTCACTATGTGTTGCAGCAAGGGTGGTGTGTGGTTTTTCTCTTTAAATCAGAACCATTCTTCATTAAAAAATGATAATAATGCAAGGTGAATAGAAATATGATGCTGCCTAGGGTTTATGTTTTGATTCTTTTCAGTCTCCACCTCCAACATCAGCTCATGCTTTGTGGCAAGATTTTTGTGTATTTCTATGTTTTTAGAAGAAAAATTCTTGTTTAATTGAAATATATATAAGTTTTAGACTAATATATATATATATATATATATATATATATATATATATATATATATATATATATATATATATATATATATATATATATATATATATATATATATATATATATATATATATATATATATATATATAATTTTTTATTTTCTGTTTAATTGAAATTTTTTATTTTTAAATTCCTGTGTTAGAAAAATATTTTTTTATATATATATATATTAATAATGTTTAGAGAAAAATATTTGTTTTTTAGTGTATAAGTTTTGGAGGGAAGATTGCCACCAAAAATTTGATAATTCTAAAAAAATTTATACAACATTTCAGAAATGTAGTCTTTTATTAGAACTAATGTAACAATCTAAAAATGTCCCCAAAAATATTTTAGGGGACAATTGTCAAACATTGCTAAAGAAATAATATTTTAACGCTCTAAAATCGTCCCCAAAAGCAGTTAAGGGCACAATTAACAACCGTTGGCAAAAAAAAAAGAGTATCGCTCCATAAACGTCCCCAAAAGTATTTTAGGCGACGATTATCAAGGGTTACAAACATATTTTGGACAACAATCGTAAATCGTTGCCTATATGAATTTAAGGCAACAATTTCTACATGTTACCTAAAAAAGTGTTGTCAGAGACAACAAATGTTGTAGTGTTGGTCCATCTCTTCATAAATATATACTATGTTTGATTTCTCATGTGAATCTATCACGCAGAGCACTCTAATTAAGAAGAAAAGTCATTCCTTATGCAATACAAGACATCTTTTTAGTTTTTTTATCGGTAACCAAACCTTCCACAAAGATCCCATCATAACTCTTTGCAAGATGACTAGATTTTCATCCGTTTGATCTAAAGATATAAATTGTTGCCATATTATCAAAGAAACACCTCAAGATTAAGTATGTAATGATAAAGCGAGTTCGGGTCGAATCAAATCACCATATTTAATAAATTTATGTAATAAAGAAATGAGATTTATTTTTGTATAAATGAATGTTTCGATCATTCTTCTCGAAATCATCTACCGTTAAGTTCATATGATAAGAATCACGAGGTGTCCCATCCAACATCTCCGACACCATTAAATTTTGCACTATCCAATCTTCATGTGCTTTGTAATTTGCTGCATTGACCATAATCACATAGAAAATATTATCTTCCCCAACTTCCTCAAAGATGTCATCATCAATCATCCTACTCATTTTCTTTTTTCCACATGTTGTTTATAGTGACTTGAAAAGTCATTTCTATTTCTCCACTTACTCACACTTGCTATGTAATGATAAAGCGAGTTCGGGTCGAATCAAATCACCATATTTAATAAATTTATGTAATAAAGAAATGAGATTTATTTTTGTATAAATGAATATTTCGATCATTCTTCTCGAAATCATCTACCGTTAAGTTCATATGATGAGAATCACGAGGTGCTCAATCCAACATCTACGACACCATTAAATTTTGCACTATCCAATCTTCATCTGCTTTGTAATTTGCTGCATTGACCATAATCACATAGAAAATATTATCTTCCCCAACTAATTTCGATACAAGTTCCTTCCCGAACCAAAGGCTCATGATACCATGTTGAGGGGAGATACTAGGAGCATTGATACATATTGTGGGAACAAGCACCTTTGAGAGATACACACCACTTCTCCACCTAAAACCTTAAGGTGATAGGTGAGTGAATTCTCCCACTTATATATGCTTAAGTCTCCACATTCCTATCCAATGTGAGACTATTTCCCCACTTACTCACACTTGCTATATTATTCCAACATGGTGTTCCTAAATCTCTTGACTTTTTCCTTTTCCAACAAAACTAGATGATTCTTTAACACCACTAGGATCTTCAATGACATACAAGTTCAACTTCTTAATCAACTTAGTTTACAAATCAACAACACTTATTTTTTTTCTCAACTTCATCCAGAACAACTCTGTAAGGTTTAACGTTCATATTAGTTTCACCTCAAATGAAATGTCAGTCGATAAACTCCTTCGTTATATTTTTTTTAAACAATATTTACAATTTCACTTTCTTGTCTTCTCAATTGGATCACATTATTTTCCTGTCTGATAAGAGTTATTTATGAAAAATCTGTTGATTATCAGAGGTATTTATTCACTACCACTATTTAAAGTCATATACATCACTACATAATATATATATATAGAAAAAAGAGGAAAGAACGATGACAAATAAGTAAAAGAGTGGAGAGAATTGAATAAATAAAATAAAAATAAAAATATAGGAAATGTAACAAGAGTGATACGAACCTGAAGTGGAAAATACTGTAGTGATGTCTTGTTTGAAAGAAAGAGGTAGTCATATGGTGAATTTGCGACATCTCATAAGAGTTATATATCTCTTATATGAAATAAAAAAAATTAAAGTCACTTAACTATTTTTCTTAATAAACATTGATTTAACAAATCAAACTGTAATAATACGATTTTAATGAAAACTAACACAACATACATTTCTCCTCACGGATTGCGTGTTAAAGAACCTTTGTTTTTAGGGTTTATATTAAAAGCAAACTAATAAAAAATTAACATTAAACAAAAAGACATTAAGACAATTGTTTGAAAATATTATAGATCATACGTCAAAGTTAAGGAAATTAGAAATTTGCCACTATCTCAAACAACCCTGTAACAAATGTCTTAAGGAAACAACATTTTAGTTAAGGAAACGAATTGTAAACATAAAATTTCTGCTTCATCATTGTAAGTTTGTAACTAATGAAATACTACTAACTTTTAAAAAATAAAGCAATTTTGATGCGACATAAATACATACCGTGATGAAACGTCGTTGAGTTGTGATTTCCTACTCCGTTGACAAGTTTACGATAGGATAGTCCTTTTCTTTTACCGGTCACATCATGGGAACCACTATGATCATTACAAAAAAACGCTGGTCATGCAGGGTATTGGAATTTCATGAGATTGCAGCTTTCTTCATTTTCTTTTTTGGGTAAAGAACTAGTATTAGTAGTTCTAAAGAAGATCCAATTTAGTCTTTGAATACTCCCTCCGTTATTTTATAATGGTTATCTTTTAACTTTTTCCGCATACTAAAAATGATAATAATTGTTATTATTTTTAAATAATAATTTTTATTTTATCCATAATATTTTTAACTATTTATTACTTTAATTTATTTTTTTCTTTCTATAATAAATATTAGAAGTAATTTTAACAAAATAATAATTATTATTACTTTAAATTTTAATAGTGACAATTAAAAATAAATATAAAATTTTCCAAAATATGACAATTAAAAAGTAAACGGAGAGAATAATATAAAATGATGTAATTTTAGTTATTGAATAATTTAAAATAAATATATAATGTTAATTTCAAAAAATTGTCTTCAAATTAGTTATTTTAATCTTCAAATATCTTTTTCATTAATGAATTTTTATGTGAAATTACAAACAAACATTGCATTTGTATGCAATATTAATTTTTATACTTTTAGAAAATAAGAGTGATTGCACATACTACATTTAAAAACCAAAATATTTGTTTATCCAATTTTTCTCTCAATTTTTATATGGATAATATTAACTTGTATTCTAAGGGTATATGTAAAAATTTTAATTTAAAAATTGTATATTGATTTGATTAAAAATTTATAATTTATTTTATTTATTTATTTTTTAATACAAACTTTTCATCTATGAATTTTTAACATATGTCCTTTAGGGCTGTTTGCGAGTTTAGAGGGGAAAAAATGGGAGAACTTTGAAAAAAGATAAGAATTGAGTGGAAAGAATCAAAAGATTTTGGTTGGGAGTTTGTTTTTATTCATAACACTAAAAATTCTTTAATTTGAAGAACTCAAAATTTGTATTGAAAGTGTTTTTGGAGGACTTGTTTAAACTTCAAAATAATTTTTTTTATGTGGTTATAATATTCTGAAAATAAAAAATATAGTAATTATAAACACTCTTTTATTATTCTGTGCAAAATTATTTTTCTAAAAAATGTCAAATGTTGTTAACAAAGGATAAATATAACAATACAGGATGGCTAGAAAGGCTCAGGGTTTAAATAAATAACGTGCCTCAACGTGTGTTATCATGTTGTGATGTTCGAGTAGAATACACACAAAATCAGAGTGATAAAGTCATACCTAAATGAACTTTCATGATGATATTCTTGTGTTTGGCTTTATTATGTTCACCATATTGGATACGCTTACAGGTTCCAAAGCACTCCTTGTGTGATGTGGCTTCTTTTCCGGCTTGGGTATACCATACTACCATCTCAGTCTAGTGTTATCAAGTTACGTCCAACAATTACTCGTTCTTCAGCTATATCAACTTCCCGGGGTGCCTAAGGAGCAAGTCTGGGTTGCATCTTTCATCCACTTAAATACTCGTCCGTCCTTCATTAGGCAAAAATACAATCAATATGCAACACATCGGTGACAAAACAAACAACACAAATAAATTGAAAATAAATTGAGAATACTAAAACAGAATAACAAAGTACCTCTTCTCTGTAATGTTTTTTGATGGAGATAGGAACTCTATAGTCTAGTGTTACTCGAACTTGTGAGCCCTTGCTTACCCAACCGAGGGTGTATGGCTTTTCATGAAGTTATGTGGATAACTTCAAATAATTTACCAATTTCTACGACACCAGATTCTCCATGC